AAAATTTCCTGATAACCGGTCATCCCGGTGTTGAAACAAATTTCTCCGGTGGCCGTGCCGTTTAACCCGGTTGCTCTCCCCCAGAAAATGGCACCATCTTCCAGAAGAACTACTGCTTTTTTTCTTGCTTGATAACTCATGGCAAAATTTGGCGTAAAGTTAGTTTCAAAATTAAGATCAAAAAAAAGGGATAAGAACTAAATCGCCCTTATCCCTTCTCTTAAAATTCATTTACTACAATCACTCTCCTTTTTTGTCTTCTTTAGGAGTATCTGCGGCTTCAGCCGATGTATCTTTCTTAGGCTTCTCTGCCTTTTCTTCCGTTTTAGGAGCTTCTTTCTTAGCCTCTGTTTTGGTTTCGGTGGCCTTTTTGGCTCCTCCACCTCTGCGGCTTCTGCGGGTTTTAGATTTTCCGCTCTCCTTCTCATTGGTGTAGATTTCATTGAAATCAACCAGTTCGATCATGCACATCTCAGCGTTATCGCCCAAGCGATTTCCGGTGCGAATAATCCGGGTGTATCCTCCGGGGCGATCGCCTACTTTGTCAACTACCTCCCGAAACAATTCAGCAACTGCGTGCTTATCGCGCAAATAGCTAAATACAATTCTACGGTTGTGCGTATTATCGTTTTTAGATTTGGTAATAAGCGGCTCAATAAAAGTCTTCAAAGCTTTAGCCTTGGCAACCGTTGTGTTAATACGCTTATGCATGATAAGTGACGAAGCCATATTTGACAACATCGCCTTACGGTGAGAAGCGGTTCTTCCTAAGTGATTAGTTTTCTTAGCGTGTCTCATCAGGTGTTATTCCTTGTCTAATTTGTATTTACTGATGTCCATTCCGAAAGTAAGACCCTTGCTTTCTACTAATTCGTCAAGCTCAGTAAGAGACTTCTTGCCGAAGTTGCGGAATTTCATCAAATCGCTTTTTGTGTACGTTACGAGATCGCCCAACGTTTCAACCTCTGCTGCTTTCAAGCAGTTTAGGGCACGAACCGATAAATCCATATCTACCAGTTTCGTTTTGAGCAGCTGGCGCATGTGCAAAATCTCCTCATCGTAGTTATCTACTTCAGAGTTTTTGCTTTCTTCCATGCTAATCTTTTCATCACTTACCAGCATAAAGTGGTGGATCAAAATCTTAGCAGCTTCGGTAAGCGCTTTCTTCGGATGAATTGAACCATCAGTAACGATGTCCAAAATCAATTTTTCGTAATCTGTTTTTTGCTCTACCCGATAATTTTCAATGCTATACTTTACATTCTTAATTGGTGTGTAAATGGCATCAATAGCAATGGTACCAAGCGGAGCATTGCTCTTGCGGTTTTCTTCCGCAGGAACGTAACCACGGCCCTTCTCAATGGTAAGTTCCATATCCAGCTTCAGTGAAGAATCCAGATTACAGATCACCAAATCAGGGTTTAGCACCTGGAAGGCAGAAGCGAATTTACCCAAGTCGCCAGCGGTGATTTTATCCTGTCCGCTAATGCTCACGTTAATTTTCTCTTCCTCCTGATCATCGATCTGTCGCTTGAAACGCACTTGCTTCAAGTTCAAAACAATTTCAGTTACGTCTTCCACCACGCCTTTAATGGTAGAAAATTCATGCTCTACACCGTCAATTTTTACTGACGTGAAGGCAAAACCTTCCAGTGAAGAAAGCAATACTCTGCGAAGAGCATTTCCTACGGTTAAGCCATAGCCGGGCTCTAATGGTCTGAACTCGAACTGCCCCTCAAAGTCAGTGGCGTGGTTCATTATAACCTGATCAGGCTTTTGGAAATTTAGAATGGCCATTGGTTTCTATTAAAAGTTGATAGATTAAAAATTACTTAGAGTACAATTCTACGATGAGCTGCTC